TATATATATATATATATATATATATATTAATGGAAATATGTAAATAACAATGAAGTAATGCGACAAGGGGGAAAGTGTAAAATTGTATTATAAGTTACTCCCGAGGATGACGTAGATCACGTCGTAACATGTACGTGTAGAGAGATATTTTAAAGTGGAAGCCGTACGGCTTCAATAAAGTTTTTATTGTGTAAATATAAAACGTTGTTTTTAATTATTTATTATAATTTAATTTTTTTTAAACACAAGTACCGGTAGTGCATAAACAAAATTATGTTTGTAATCACGTGTTACCAGCCAACCAATTATTTCTGTCCACACTTATATAAAATAAACATTGATTAATAACAGAATGATTGATATTTTATGTTTTATTATCTATTACATACGTCACTAACAGTTTTTTTCTTACCGAAGTGATCCCTTGGGCTTTAGGCTTAAGGAAGAAGTAGATTCATTAATTCTGGAATGTTCAGATTCATCTAAAATATGAAGATACAAACAAACAAAACATTTCAGAACCTTTAAAACAAACTTAAAGTTCCTTAATAACTAGGAATAAGTAAAATTTATAATAGGACTGGGCGCATAGAGACAAGAAGAAGCATTACTAACAAGAGACATATTGTATCTCATAGGCCTAGCATACCTGACAGAAGGAGATACATTATATTAACCTTCATTTCAGGCTACTGATACTGATGACCTGTCACGTAGTGGGTGATAATGTTATTATGTGCGAAATTCTTTGCATGTCATAAATAAAATGTAAATTAATTTCGAAAAAATGTTTTGCACTTGAAACTCTCGGAATTTATAATATTTTAATTGTTCAAAACAGATATAAATTTATATATCTAATTAAGAGAAGAAAGTTAATTCTTTAAAATAAAATACATCTTTAAGAGCCATCTTGGTCGCTGCGTTATTTCCTATTAGATGTCAAGTCAAACTCTACATATCTGCGCGTATCGATTTTAGCGAAGTAATTATTTTTATTCGTTCATTCCAAAAATCTTGTCATCTATAAATATCTTTTCACAAAAGCTTTGAAACGTGCTACAAATAAATACGTCATACAGCACCATACGAGGTCTGATTAAGTCCCTCTAAAAAAAACAAAAAAAAACACAAGTTATATGTTTCAGAAACACTCACAATTATATGAAAATAACAATTTCAGACATTTGAAGAAAACCTAGCCCTTCTAAAATCGAACATTATATCCACTAGCCCATACTAATTCCCAATTATTATTATTTTTTAATCAAATAAGCAATTAGACTTTAATTAGACAATAAATGTTAGTAGTCGATTGTCTCAAAGTCATGAATAGTCAGATCGTAGCTTTACTGGGCCCCTAGTCGTAGATTGTCTCAAAGTTATGAATAGTCAGATCGGAGCTTTACTGGGCCCTAGTCGTGGATTGTCTCAAAGTTATGAATAGTCAGATCGTAGCTTTACTGGGCTCCTAGTCGTAGATTGTCTCAAACTTATGAATAGTCAGATCGTAGCTTTACTGGGCCCTAGTCGTAGATTGTCTCAAAGTTATGAATAGTCAGATCGCTACTTTACTGGGCCCCTAGTCGTAGATTGTCTCAAAGTTATGAATAGTCAGATCGTAGCTTTATTGGGCCCCTAGTCGTAGATTGTCTCAAACTTATGAATAGTCAGATCGTAGCTTTATGGGCCCTAGTCGTAGATTGTCTCAAAGTTATGAATAGTCAGATCGTTGCTTTACTGGGCCCTAGTCGTAGATTGTCTCAAAGTTATGAATAGTCAGATCGCTACTTTACTGGGCCCCTAGTCGTAGATTGTCTCAAAGTCATGAATAGTCAGATCGTTGCCCCTACTCGTTCAGAGCAGAAAAACTCTATATTTTGTTTCAAGCTTCAACTAATATAAATTGGCGACAAGTTTACGAGTAGAGCAAGAAACGAAGTCAAACAACATTGAGAGTATAAGAAACATTTTAGTTAGAAGATTCATCGAACATTTTAGTTAAAACATTATAGTTAGATCATTCAGCGAACATTTTAGAATGTACTTTCGATGACGAGGAACCCACTTTGAGACTAATAATGGCTGGAGACGGCTTAAATGGGTAATGAAGAAAAACTTTAATACAAGTTTAACATGTCATGTTAAACTTGTATTAAAGTTTTTCTTC